GCATTTTTTTAAATAAATAATACACTTCAACATAAAAATCCTCTACTTACCAAGGCGTGGCAATGCTGTGAATGTTAGGCAGCTCAAATGCACAAGTGATCTATGTCAGTGATCTATTCAACAGCACAGGATATGATAAAAGCTTTGAAAACAACATGCATCTGTGAATTGAAAACTTAATATTGTGTACCTTGACAAGGTTAGTGAAGACACAACAGAGTAAATGACGACAGTGAGGAAACAGAACACATACCTAGAAGGCAAACCATGCTTTCTGTAATTGGGTGAGATTAGTCTACTAACACGAAAGAGAGCATCAAACCCCATGCTATTGATGTTTACAGCATACGGACTTCTTCCCAGATAGTCAAAAATGATGAACCAGAAAAACTGTTACATAACCCCAAAATGTGACAAATAGTGTGTACAGTACTCCAGGGAGTAAGGGAATTGAATACAGAGATAACTTTTTGAACACTGAATATTGTGTTAAATATTGTGACTATGTATTGTGAAGTTTTAAAAGCTTAAGGGGAGGCCAAATTTTAAGTGATTTCTGTTATAGAGAATGCTAGGGTATCCTCATTATAATATATGGCCCAGTGTTACTCAAATCTCATGGATATCTCTGAAAATCAAACAAATTCCATAAACTCCAACATCACCTTTACAGATGACTCAGAGGCTATTTTATAACATCATATTCACTAGTAAAATACCTAATGTAGCAGTAGAAGAATGGCTTCTAAAGAGAAGAGTTAGAAAAATGAATGATTCTTTCCTTTCACCATGCAAGGCAGAGATTAAGATGTCATAGAAACTAACGACAGCAAGTGTAAGATTGCATTTAATAAACAACACTGAAATCTCCAAATACTTACATAAACTCCATGTTTTTCCCATGTACACAATTCAAGGTCATTTCTTTACCATTGACACACATTGCTACAATCATGCAATAAAACTAAGAATCTTGAAATAGCCTCATGTTTTAATAATATTACCTTCTCCTCTACCTTTACATCTCCTATGGTTTGTGAGTCTTGTAGTTGTTTCAGAGAATCACTAAAGAATAAATTATAACTTTCTTGAAGAGCTTTCATTTGTTTTTCTAATTCATTTCTTTCTTCATCTGTCATTCTAAAATAACCAGAAAGTATGAAATGAGGAGTGCAAATCTTGAAGTGATAAAGACGATGTACTAGGCTCAATGATTTTGTAAAATACTTTTCTAAATGAGTACACAATCATAAAACAAAATGTAATCTCATATACAGATTGCTTAGGTCTAAGAATGGCTGTATATGGAAATTAAGGATGGCCCTGAACACATTTAGGAATCCTTCTCTTGCCTAAAAAAAGGGACTGAAGGAAAGGGTGTAAACTAATATATCAGCACCTCCCCAGCAGATATACGTTTCTAAAATAACAATAGCTGTTATCTGACAGAAGGAATTTAGCATTGTTAGTCCCAACACGGGAAAGGGACTATAAGGTACCATTACTCGAGATGAAACTTGTTGACACTAAAGAATGAATAGAGAAGAAATCAATCTGATTCTCTCAACATTGATGTTTCTCTCTCTCTCTCTCTCTCCCTCTCCCTTCCTCTCTCTAAAATCAATAAAGACATATTTTTAAAAAGAAAGAAATATATTCTTCTGTGATGGTCAGAAGAATATATTTACACACATTTTCCAAAAGGTAAGTCTCAGCCACTACTACTTATATTAAGACTTGGCTTGGAGTCTTCACAATTCACTAGCTATTTACTGATCCTTAACCTCTCTGAGCCTGTTTTATTATCAATAATATATGGGGATAATAAGTACCTTTCAGGCTTTTGGTAAAGAAAGACTGAAAGTGACTAAAAAGGACAATTACTTAAATTGCTAAATGTATCATCTCATGTTGTTATATTACTAAGTAAATTTGTGATTGAGTTCCATTTCTAAACTCTCAACTAAAATTTACCATCTTCTATTTTGCTGAACGTTTTTAAGACCACTTTCGTACATCGAATAACAGGTTAATGAAAACCAACATACTTGTCTCCATGTTTAGCCAAAAATAGCTGCATTGTTTGAAGTGCCTCAGATAACTGTTCCTTTTTGGTTAATATTTCTTCACTCGAAATCTGCAAGGTAAGGAAAACATATTCAAACTCAGCCGTCATAAAAACCAACAGTAATTTTTTAAAACGAATCAAGTTTTCATCAAGACCCAAATGATATCTATTTTCTGGGGGACCCAAGCCAATAACCCATTACACATGATCAGATTAAGAGGGCCTGGATAAGAGGAGTACTTTATATTTAGAATGCATCATTAAGGAAAGCCTTATTATTTCATGAGGAAATAATAATACAGCATTATATGGTTCTCGCATTTGTCCTGGCTCAACCATGAATGAAGAGTGCCTTAACATCTCAGGTGACCAGAGGCTCAGCACTGGCCAAATGTCATCCTTGTACCCAAAAATATACACAAATGAAGAACGCTACTCCCAATGACTATCTTCCTTCCTGCAAGCTCCTGGACACAATCAATGCTCCTTTCGAAAAAATTAGGGTGACAGTGTAATCTGTATGTCTACAGATCAAGATTAAGTAATTTTTATTGCTAAGATTTCACTTGCAAAAGTTGCCTGTGATGGTCAAAAGAATAAAATTGATCTGTTTGACAAACACTTTGTCCTGATTCCTCAATGTATCATTTCTGCATATCTAACATCAGAAATCAATTGCCATCCTTTTAAAGAAGCAGAAATGAGAGTAAATGATGGGCCAATGTAAGCGTATCTTTCCCCTCAATGTATTCTATTTAGAATCAATTTAAAGTCTATTTTTCAAGGTTACAGGTAATAAGGTGACCATGCTGATATTTTGAAATACATTTATTATTCACGTCAAATTGCCTTAAATTCCTTTATCAAGTGTTATTAGAGATTTGCAATTTAGGCCACAATCTGCATTAAAAAAGTATGTGTCTACTTTTATGTCCAATAGGTCTAAAACTGATCTAGTAATATTTTGGAGAGTTTAAAACTACAGAATGAGAAAATACTAAGAGTTTATAATTCACATTTCTCAAAAGAAACTTGTTCTCCCAAGATACTCTTGCTAAGTTCTTGTCCGTATTGTGATTATTTTCCTATTTGACAAGTGTTGGGGCCGGGGGGGG